TATAATAAAAAAAGAAAATAATAATAATAATAATAATAATAATAATAATAATAATAATAATAATAATAGTTGTCATAATGTATGTGTCCAAAGACTCATTCGCTAAACGTAAAAAATCAATGAGTTGCCATCAATTTTTTTTTTTTTAGGTACGATTGGCTACCAATCCTATCTTTTGGTATATGAATTTGAGGTTAGGTTCAGAAGTACGGTTATACATGAGAAATGTTATAATACCTCCACAGTGCCCATCCGAAAATGATACCAATTAATTTTATAAAATCCTAAAAGTGGTCTTGCTCAACTAGCTTTTTACTGATTACCTTATAATTTTATTATTTGAATATTGAAAATTTTTTAAGTTATTTCTAACACTTTTAGTATAACTTAAAAAATCTTTTAACCTTAAAAGTATTAAAAAAATCACTTATTTCCTTGAAAGTGTTCCATCGTCGGATTTATTTTAATATTTTAAAACTAAAATAGATCATAATTCTATTATACAAACACTTATGATAAAAGTTTGGAGGAAAGTTATCACTTGTAACTTTCTCTTAATTTCATCATTGATGAGAATTTTAATCTACTTTGTAATGTTTATTTATTTTTTATTTTATTATTAAGGTAAATATTTTATTGGTTAAATTCTCAAAATATTTTTAACTCTTTTAGAATATTTTGAAGAAGTTTTTTACTTAAGAATTTCGTTTGAATCACCATTTGTGACTTTATCATTATCCCATTAATAATTTTTTTGTGTTTAAAAAATTCTTAAATATTTCAACACTTTTAAAGTATTTTAAAAAATTTCTTTATATGAATATTTTTAATAAAATCATCACTTGTGATTTTATTTTTTGTTAATAATATTTTTTATACTTGCGAAAATTCTAAAATATTTCTAACACTTTTAGAATATTGTAGAAAATTTTTTTCTGTAAATATTTTTAATAACACTACAAAAAAATTGCATTATACTGATGCTCAAAAAATCATCAGTAAAACTTAAAAATTTATTTGTATAGTAGAATAAACCTTATACTAATGGTCAAAATATCTATTTTGATGAATTTATAATCATCAGTATATCTTTTGTCGTATAGACTTCTACTAATGGTTTGTAAGCAAGCGAAATATGTAACAGAGATATACTGACAGTTTTAGTTCATCACTATATGTATAGCTGTTGGTATAGCAACTATTGTGTGTTTCGCATTATACCTTTTATCGACGGTTATTCTCGTCAGTATAGCCTCGTATGTTTTAATTTTTTCAACTTATACTGATGATGTTTCCATCAGTATATCTTTACAAACGGTCAATGCCCGACAGTATAACCTTATGTGTTTTAACTTTCAACGACGATCCATGATGACTGTTTATATAGCCTAAAATATTTTAATAGTAAAATGCATTAGTATAAATTTTAAGGCTTTGGTAAAAACTTTTTTTGAATTATATTTTCAATTATTAATATTAATTAATTTATAATAATAATATGATATGGTTGCATATAAAGTAAAAATACACAAAAGTTAAAAATATTTAATAACATTTGAAATAAAACAACAACCAAATTGTTTTATAGTCCACAAATTTAAAATAAGTAAAAAACTATCGTCATTGTACCAAATCCAAAAAAAAATAAACATTAATATCTATGATTGAATGTTTACAAACATGGTGCTCGAAGTAAATAAACGACTCCCTAAAGTAAGATAATGGCATCCCAAATTGGTCTAAATACCTGTTTAATTAGTAAAACCTAATAAAGAATTCCATGTCAAATTCAGCTTTTACTAGTCAATTAACATAGGAAACATTCCTAAGGTGAAGTCAAGCATACCGGAAACTATAAACAAATGAATTGCTGACAAGATTTTGTCAATTGTTATAGGCTTCCTCTGCTTCACCAACCTAAATAACTGCTGAAGTTGCTTAATTCTTCAGAATTGTTTAAAGGTCTTTAAAGGGTTGCCATCCACCATCTAGATAAGATGGATCTAGGATTTTGTTCATAAACTGATTATCATTACCTACATATAGGGAAAATATGTAATTTAATAATTGAATTCCAAAAAATACTTTTTAAACAATGTAATTTACTATTTTGTTGTACTTGTACCAAGGTTGTAAATGTGTTGAGTCATTACTTGTAAAGATCTCAATTTTTTGTACAAATTATGTGAACTAGTTTGCATAAAAAAATCCTTTTGGTGCCATTACTAATGGCTGAACCTTAAATCCTCCATATATATTCTGAATAATGTTTTGAAAATTGTTCATATTAGATGCATATTGATATGCTGCAACTCTTGTTCCAATATCGGAGCCATACAATTCATTTCCCAATAAACCATATTGTTATTTAAGAAATTTCATTGTTTTAGATAACAAAAACTGCAAGAAAAGAATTTGTTAATGAAAAAATAAATGCAAGATTATCATTTTTTTCTACACATTAAAATGCATATTGAAGGAGAGATTTTACCAAATTCCCAGCCATCAATGGCATAGCCCTAGTTGACAGTGTATCTATTGAGCGACCAACATTACTAGAATTCTAAGCTCCAATGGCATAATTGTCTGGACCTACAATCTTTTCATTTAGTGCATTTAAGCTAAAAATGGCCATAGCCCTGTGTTGGAAGTAAAAGGCATTAGATCCATGTAAAAATGTTGAGTTCATCCCATCTAGACATAAGTTAGCAACCTTTTGAGAAACCAAACATCTCTGAGCTATTTTTAGTAAATGTTGCACAAAGAACCTTTGCTCTATTTTTTTCTATTGATTTTAATCAGATATGAACGGTTTGATTACACCTTAATATGGCAATAATTTGCAATCCTTTACAAATTTTAACCAAATAGAGAAAATTTTGTCAACCAATTATGAGAAAACATTAAAACAAAGATGCATTACCAAAACTACCAAGAAAATGGAGATTATGTTTTGTTTGAAGTGAACCTTGAACATTCAATCATCCTAAGCTATTACTTTTTCACAAACATTGAATCATTAAAGCCAGTACCAGTAGAAGGATAAAAAAATAAGCATGCTCGCTAACACAAAATTGAAATGCAAAAAATTAAAAATATCTTTAAGAAATGACGAGAGTCTTGATGCTTCAACTTTGATTCAACTTCCAAACAAAATGGGTGTCGATGGGTTTAAGTTTGTAAAGTCAGTGAGAGGTGAAAAGAGTTGGTGAGAGATGAAGATTAGGCTATGGGTACTGATGGGTGAAGACAGTTGGTGGGGGGTGGAGATTAAGTATGTAGAGTCGGTGGGAAGTGAAGGGAAAGAAAATGATTTAAACATTTTGAAGATTATTCAAGACATGTTTGCCAGAAACGCCTTAATTAATCCTATTCAATTTTTTGTAAGAGATTATTCAAGGTATTTTTGACCAGAAAACGCCTTGAATAATTCCTTACAAAAAATTGAATTAGGTTATTCAAGGTGATACTGGCCAAAAACTCCTTGAATAATCCCTTTTAATTTTTATGAGGGGATTATTCAAAGCATTTTTTATTAAAAAATGCCTTGAATAATCCTATCCTATTTTTTTTTGGATTATTCAAAGTGTTTTTAGTAAAAAATGTATTGAATAATCTCTTACAAAAAATTAAATGAGGTTATTCAATGTGTTTTCTACCAAAAAACTCCTTGAATAATCTTCAAAAAAAAAAAATGAGAGGGGATTATTCTTAGTCCAAATAATACCTTTCAAATATAAAAACATTGGAGTAGCTCAATTAGTTAGAGCATATAGCTATTAATCATAAGGTCGTAGGTTTGATCCCTTCTTTTAGTATTTTTTTGGATTTTTCAAGGCATTATTCAAAGTATTTTTTAGCAAAAAATGCCTTGAATAATTTTCAAAAAATATGAGAGGGGATTATTGAATGTGTTTTTAGCAAAAAAACTTTGAATAATCTTGTCCTAGAGGGGATTATTCTTAGTCTAAATAATACCTTTCAATTATAAAAATATTAGAGTAGCTTAATCAGTTAGAGCATATAACTATTAACCATTAAGTCATAAGTTCAATCCCTCCTTATAGCATTTTTTGGGTTTTTCAATGGATTATTTAAGGCGTTTTCTAGCCAAAACACCTTGAATAATTTCCTTCACCAGAAATGCCTTAAATAACCTCATTCAATTTTTATAAGGGGATTATTCAAGACGTTTTTGGCTAGCCAAAAATGTCTTGAATAACCCCAGGTATCGCACTTTTTCGAGGACCATAGTTTTCCCCGAAATCTATGATTTCACAAACCAAATCTCCTTAATTTTTTTCCCAAATAAAAGCCAATAGTTTTTTTTTTGTTTTGAGCCTATACTGACAGTTACATTAATAATTGTTAGTATATAACATATTTATACTGACAGATAGTCATATACAGTAAAAAAAAATTTATTTATATCGACGGTTAAAAAAAATGTTGGTATAAATATGGTATATTTTGATGATATTAAAATTCATTAGTAAAAGTCTGTTGCAATTTGACCGTTAGTATAACCAAGTGTCAGTATATAAAAATTTTTTTATGGTATAAAATCACCACTTGTGATTTTATTTTTTATTAATAATATTTTTTTATATGCTTGAAAAATTCTAAAATATTTTTAACATTTTAAGAATATTTTAGAAAAATTTCTTTGTGTGAATATTTTTTTTTATAAAAATTGCTGGGTATTTTATAGTTATTTTATAATATTTTATTTATTTTTATTCATTCATTATCCCAAATTTTTACATTCATTCATTCATTTATTATTATTATATGTATTGAACATATTTTATGGTAAATTAAAAAATACTTAAAAATACAAAAATATAAAAATTGAATAAATAATAAAAACTAAGAGAAAAATATAAAAATACCAAGTTTTTATGTTAGTCAAGATTGAGTCAATGTCGGTCAACAACAACTGATAGTCAGCAACGATCCACCCCGATCTGGCATGGTTTTGGCCAGTTTGACTTGGTTCGATGGCGGTTTGGCTTGGTTTTGTCCAGTACGAAGCTGATTCAGTTGGATTGGTCAAGGGTTGGTCAGCTACAACTTGTGTTGGGTCAGGTGTGCAAGTCCCAAGTCAGGTCGTGGGTTCGTGCTTGGATACTCCTAGTGAAATGACATTGTTTTACTATTTTTTTCTTGTAAAACCAAAATAATTTTTTTTATTTCATTTCTCTTTTTACTCTCTCTCTCTCTCCCTCTCGACACTCTCTCACTCCTTAAAAGAAAACCCAAGATCCGACAGTTTCCTACTATAGCTGGTGCCACCATTAATGAGTACAAAAAAAATTCTAAAAATTTACCTCTTAACCTCTACAACCCCCTGAACCTAGATATTGACTTTGTTTTATGAAAAAGAAAAAATCTCATTTAGCATAGATCGAGCTTTGAAGTTCCTGCCAAAATGAATTTTTTTTTTTTTGTGTTTTTGGCTTTGAAATCCCTACTCCAAGGGCTTTGTTTTTGTTGTTTTTACTGTGTTTTTATAGGTTTTTTTTTTTTTTTTTACTTTTTGTTTGACAAAAACTTTTTTTTTTTATTTTGAAATAAACTCTTTTTTTTCTTGGGTTTTCCTTTTTCTTCCCTTTGTTTATGTTTTTGGTTGCCTAGAATTAAGCCGATTGTTAGGGTGGCTATCGGTGGCTAGAGTGTGACCGAAAATGGCCAGAATCATGGACTTTAAGGTGGGATGGTATATGTGCATTTAATGCACAAAGAATTTTTGGCCAAAAAAGACAAGAAGAAAAGGGAAGAAAACAAAAATTAAATAAATAAAATAAAATAAAAATAAAATTATATTTAGGTTAAAATGGACTGGACAAAATAGGTGTCTACAATAATAATAATAATAATAATAATAAAATTTTAAAATCTCTGCCTAGATGTTGGAGGAAATTAAAAATTGTATTTAAAAAAAATAATTTCACCTAAATGTTGGTGAATTATTGAAATAATAAAAGATAAATAAATAAATAATAACAGTAAATTTTAATGAAAAGAAAAATATAGAAAAATTAAAAAAATTAATTTTTGGAAATCATAAAAAGCGAGTTTGTTCTGAAAGTCTATATAGATATTGCAAATTTTTAAAGAGATTTGCAAATTTGTGAAACCCTAAGTAAAATCTTAACCCGAAACGTTAAGCAAGACCTTAATGCAAAACCTTAAAGTGAAACCCTAAGTGAAATTCTAAAATGAAACCCCAAACCCAAAATGAAACCTAAAACCCTAGGGAAAACCCTAAATCTTAATGGAATCCTAAACCTTAGGTGAAGTCCTAAACCCTAAGCAAAACCTTATAGCCTTAGTTGAAAACCTAAATAAAATCTTGAAACCTTAAATTTATCCAAACTCCAAAACTATACTAAATTTTTAATGATTTATATAAAAACTTTATGTGAAGTAATCTATTCCTGAATGTTGCCTAGATGATAGGATATTTAATAAATTTTATTTCATTAAGATTTTTGATATAGTTTCTTAATCTAAAAATAATAAAATTAAATAAAGAATAAAAAATGAAAGAAAAAAGGATTTTAAATATAAAAAGTCACACCTAAATTCTACTTAGAGGTTTAAAAGTCTAAATGGTCTTATTATATTTAAGGATCCAATTTTAAATTTGCATCTCATTGCCACTTATAACATGCATTCTCATATATCTCATTTTAGATTAATGCTTGCACTCATTTCACATATACATATATTTATTAATGATGTTTATGGTTAATTATAGTATTTTTAGTTTTTTTATTGCACTAAAAAGTTCTTTAAAAAATTGGTGTCAACGAAATAAAATTAAAACAACATTCTAAGGAAGATAATTTTTGGTACTTTACCTAAATGTTGGAGAGAATAATTATCCTTTGCTAAGAATGCTATTTTTTATTTTAAAGGAATTTGTGGTGAATCTTGGACAAAAATGTTTACCTTGAATTCTAACTATATGTTGGAAAATGATAAGGTATTTCTTTAATTACAAGATTTTCATAACATTCATAAATATAGATTTTTAACTAATTTTATTTTTTTAAAAAGAGAATTATTATTAAATCCTAATTGGAAACCACCATGTCCAAATTATAGATAGCGTATGGTTAATTAGTACTAATTTTTATGGGCACTATGGGAGTGTTAATCATTTTCTATATATAATCGATTATTGAACCTAATCTTATTTCATAGACCAAATTATCTTTTTAATAAATTTTAAACTTATTTTATTGTTTTATTAAAAAAAATAAAATTTATGGATAACCAATCACACCTTAAAAAAAAAAAGGTTGATGGCGATTTCTCATGTTTTCACCACTGTTACCACCACCACTCCATTTATAAAAATCAATTCGTGTTTGGCACTACTTCTTTTTATATTTGTCTTTTGATTTGTGGATACCATCTTAATCTTTTTTTCCCTTGTAAGTTATTCTTTGGTTCTAAGAGTCTTTTGAACTAATATTATACTCGTAAGTGTTTGATGATGTTTCTATGTCATCAAGCAGGTCAAAAGAATTATGTCCTCCTTTATGGTTCTTCTTATTGGATTTATTACTATTGAAACTTTTTACATTGTTTGATCATTCCAATGCAAGTATAAGCTTGATTATACCTCAATTGTTAATCTACTAGCTGTTGATTGCGATTTACAGGAGAACACTGTGATTATTTTGGATGTGTACCTTGTGTTGCAATTATTTGATGATTTGGTGCTTTACCTTGATCTTTAAGACTAACTCTTGTTAGGTCTTCCAAATGCTTTGTGAAATACTGTAATTTTTTTGCCCTTTTTACTCTAATTATTACTTATTTGTTTGCTTAAACGCATGTTTATTTACAGTTACCTCAAAATTTCCAGCTTTGGAAGAAATTAGGTTGGAGGTAAGTAATTGCTTGAATAGTTTATCTAAAATATTTCCATCATATATAAGTGCTTATAAAATGATGTTTTCGGTTTTTTTTTTTTTTTGTATATTCTTCGTTTGGACTAACTCCATTTGAATAGTGGCAAGAAGCATATTGCTATTTTCTCTTCTCCAAGTGCTATGGCAGGTTTTTATTGGTTTGACTTTGAAAATTGTGCTTGTTTTTGGAACCTTTAGGTGTATCCAACGATGTTTATTTCCTTTGTGAAAACGCGTTGCATCTGCCTTTTGTGTCCATGTAGGGGCTGTTTTTTATATGGCATGTCTATTGCATATGTTTCAATATCAGAAGTGAAGAGTGCATAAGTTCCCTACTAAACCAAGGATAAAATAAAAAATTGGATACATTTCCAGAATACACATTATTAGAAATATTTTGTTTAATCTGTAATGTAAATTATAATACCAAAATGCTATTGTTATTTTAAATTTCAAAATTTAATTTACATCAGGTAAACCGGAAGAAGTATCCAGAGTTCCTACTTAATATGTCATCCTTACCAAGTGATTCATTTATAGTACAATTCTTATTTCTGGATACCAGTATTTTGTACCATTCCTTCTAATTTTTGTTCATTTGGTTTTATCCAGGAGGAATTGTCATGAAATGTGGATACAAGGCTATTGTCTTAACTGTTGACATTCCTAGACTTGGTCGAAGCGAGGTAGGCGTAAAGAAAAAGTGACATAGTGTTTCCGTTTCTTAATTTTGTATCATTCTGACAAGTTAATATAAGTGCTTTTGTATGCCGTGGATATGGCACAAATTGTTTGGAATTACTGTATCTGGACGCTTAATTGGATTTATACAATAATTTTTTGAATAACAGTTCTTTATTTATGTTTTGTTTGGAGTAAGAATTAGAAATATTAAAAATATATATGTAGTTATTAATGAATTGAATAATAAATAAATAAATATTTTTTTAAGATGATAATTAATTTCATTATAAGTTTTACATTAAAACTAAAAAAAAAAAGATATAATGAGAGTTAAAATTTATTTTTATTATAGGTTTTACATTTAGTGAAAGCCAAAAGTGAGTTTCATTAATTATTTACATTTAGTGAGGGTTTTTGAACCCTTACTAAATGATAGATACAGTGAGGGTCAAGTTTTATCTCTTATTATATATAATTACTAAGAGAATTTAAAGTAAAAGCATGTGAGAATAATTATATAGATTTTTAGTAAGAGTTGTGACCCTTCCTAAAAGCTTCTTTAATGGTTTGGTAAATAATAAGTATTTAAATCAAATAAGAAAACTAAGTTACACAACAAAAGATAATCGTTGTCAATCTTGTAAAATTATGTAAAAAAAGACGTTGAGTCCACCCATAATGGGTTGCTCGACCCCAGCATTTTGGGTACTGCCCTATTTAGTTTTCATTATTTGAATTTAAACAAAGCCTCAACTGCCAACATACAACTACTATTCTCCATACATATATATAGCTTTCGACAATAAGAATATGACGATAAAAAATTAGACAAAATAGAATGAAAGAAAAGCGCAGTGTGTTTGGCAAAGACATAAAGTTAACTATCAAAAAATTTCTTGCTTTCAATATTAAAAATTTACACTGTGAAACGAATAATTTTTGAATACGTTATCTTGTTTTCAATTTGTGAATCAAGCCCCCAAGCTTTGACATTACGAATCAAGCCCCCAAAGCTTCAAAATATCCTGTAAGTTTTATTCAACATTTATAATTATAATCATTGAAATGATTTATCTTTGGAATCATAGCCTTTTAAGCTTGATTTTTGATATGGTTTTGAATATTCTTTATGAAACACCGAAAACTTGATATGTTCTTGAATTCACTCTTGAAAATTGTTTGAAATCCATTGGAAATCACACAGAAATGTATTTTTTTGTGAATAAATGTTGCATGAACGTTCTGTGATGTTCTAAACATGTTGCCATTTATTGTTTTAGATAATTTGGATCATGGAATTTTAGTTTTCCAAAAGGGTACTCGAATGCCCAATTAAGGCAGTCGAGTGTTTAAGGTAGAATTTTAAATTATAACGGTAATATTTTTACCCGCAGTTAACTGCCTATCCCATGGCAGTCGACTGCCCTTTTGATTTTTCAAAATTGAAAGGTAAAACTGACAAGGCAGTCAACTGTCCTCCAGAGCAATCGGTTGTCCTATTTATGTTTCAAAATAGATTCTAAAAACATATAAGGCAGTTGACTGCCTGTCAGAGCGGTAAACTCCATTGCATTATTATCAAATAGATTGTTTAAAGGTTTTGGCAATCAACTGCTCAACATGGCAATCGTCTTCCCTGTGACAACATTTTTTTTTAATAGAAAAGTTTCCTATCCTGGATTAACTTTGGGAGCATATGTTACACAAGAATGATTAAAATAAGTTTTAATCATTATAAGACTTGTCCATTTATGAAACTTTTTGTATATGTTACAAAAAATTATGACTGTTATTATAAGAACTCATATTGTTATAATGATTGACGCACATACTTTGAGAGCCATGAGGTTATTAATTGAATTGGTTGAATACCAAATAGATCTAAATAATGATGATATTTTAAGGCATATCATCAAAGTTAATGGCAATATCAAAGAGTTAATCTAGTGTAGTTGCATGTGCATAAAGGAAGGATTGGAACAAATATCCAATGTTGAAAGATAGGTTTCTTATGCTTAGACAAAATAATCTTCGTAAAGATCATTAGATGCTTAAAAGGAAACATCTTTGTTATGCAACATTAATTAAGAATTTTGTGACAGAATATGTGAGAAAGGGGGTAAGGAGGATTGCGACTCTTTCTTTCTGCCCAAGTCTCCATAATGAGAAATACAAAATTCCTAAAACTCAATGGATGGCAAATATGAATATAGAACTATCAAAGAAATCTATGGATTCCATACTTGTGAGTAGACAAGTCATCCAAATTGATTATGAATGTTGTTATGGCATACAATTCTTATAACATTTATGGCATTAGTTTTATTGTTCAATATGTCCTTATTGTGTTAAGCTTGTCTATGTGAATGTAATCAATATAAGTTATGGTTAGTAGGAGTTCTAAGATATTAATGCAAGTTATCTTAGAATTACAAATTTTGCATAATGAAATAAATTAATGATGATTAAACACTTTAAAATGGAATTTGATTGTGAACTTGGTGAATTTTTGGTGTAATTGATTTCGAAATTGTGGCAAAATAGATGTGAGTTATGCTAGGTATTAATTAATTAATGTCTTTCAATGTAAAATTATACTTTGAAATGACTTTTTCTTTTAAGAATATTATTGCTGTATTAAAAAATGGTGAGAAGTTGAATGGCAAGAATTATGAAATCTATTTGAAGAACAATAGATTCTTGAAGTTTTTAACAATTTCGTTGATGATCCTGTATAAGCGAATACTTCCCAACATAGAAGGGATTGTAAGGCTTACAAAGCTTGATAAAGAAAAACTCCACTGCTCATATTACATAGCTAAGCAGTATGGAGAATGATATTATACATGAGTTTATGAAGCATAATATTTCTAAAAAGATGTGGATTGCTTAAAAGGTAAAGTGTGGTGGAACTTTTATCACTAAACTTAGGCAGCTTATTGTCAAGTTTGACATTTACAAAAAATGGTCTAATCATAATATAAGGCCACATGCATGACAAATGTCAAATATGATTAGTGAGCTGAGGGCTAGACACACTTTGACATATGAACAAGGTTCAAGTTGTTATTCGATCTTTGCCACATAATTGGGAACACATAAAGATATATCTAACCTATAATGAGAGCATAATGACTGTTGATGATGCTTTTTATTTTCTTTAATTGAAAGAAGCTTGTATTGATGCATCTAAACCTAATGGAGATATGTATATGACTACTATAAGTTCTAAAAATACTTCAAGCTTCAAATGGAAGCCATGTAGCGGGAACAAAGAGAAAGGTTCCTAAAAGACCAAAAAAATGGTAAAAAAGGCAAAAAGAAAGGTTCTAAGGCTTATCCTAAAAAGAGTAAAGCAAACGTCAAGTGTTTTAACTGTGGCAAAATGGACACTTTTTTCGTGAATGTAATGAGCCAAAGAACATAAAAACCCTTAATGCATTTATGTGTAATGCTAAAAGTACTATATTTGTTTTTAGTACTATTTTAATAACTAAATCTTATCCTTTGTGTATTGTAAGGACTTAGAGGCCACATACCATGTAGCATGAGACAAAAAAGTGTTCATGGATTTCAATCTAATTCCACGAGGAATAAACTAGATTTATGTAGGAAACATTTCACTAATTAAAACTAGGAGTAGCAGCACCTGCAAGTTGAGTTTGCATGGTGGAAAAACCCTTATTCTACATGATGTCTTTTTTTTTTCTTAACATTTGATAAAATTTAGTTCTTATCATTTTTCTTCTTAGTTTAGGATTTGTTTTAAATTTTAAAAGTATTGGTGTAGATTTGTTATAAGAGACAAATCATTATGGATCTAGATATTAATTGAATGATTTTATTATTTTAGATATTGTTCTATACAACAATCTAAATAATCATAGTTTTTCCTTCATAACTACTTGTGATGCAAATTTTGATGCAAATATTTTGCATGCTAGATTTGACCATATTTGTGAACAAAAAATGGATAAATTAACAAAAAAAGGAATAATTAGGCCTACTGAAAAGATTAATCTACCACTATGTGAAAGCTATTTAGTAAGGAAAATGACAAGAAAATCATTTTGTAAATGAACTAGAGCTAAAATTCCATTACAATTGATATATTATAATATTTGTAGGCTAATAAATGTAAAGGCATGACATGGAGGCCAATATTTCACCACATTCATTGATGATTACATACGTTTCAGATTTGTCTATTTGATTTTTCACAAATCTAAAGCTTTAGAGTGCTTTAGAAAGTATTTGAACTTAATAGAGAATTAGTTAGATAAAAACATTAAGGCATTGAGAATTGATCGAGGACGTGAGTTGATATATAATAGGTTCAAACAATTATGTGATGAAAAAGGTATTGATAGGCAGTTGACTATTTTAAGGACTTTACAATAAAATGGTGTTTCAAAGAAAAGAAATAGATTTTTTATGGAAATATTTAGACAATGACGGCCTAAGCGAATTTGCCAATCACTTTTTGGGGTGATGCAATATTAATGGTTGTCTATATACCTAATCGAGTACCCTTCAAGTCAGTTACATCCACTCCCTATAAACTGATAGAAAACTCAATCTTAGTAATTTGAGACTTTGAGGTTGTGCTGTCTATGTTTATGAGATTGTTCATTAAAATGGTAAGTTACTTTAAGAGGTAAAAATAGTATGTTTATAAGATACTTTGAACTTTCCAAAGGATGTCTGTTTATTGGTGAATAGCAAAGTGGGAATGTAACTGAAATCGATTCTCTAGATATCATTTTTTCGAAAAATGAATTTTTTTATAAGGTTGAGATAAATAAAAAAATATCTTTTTATGATATTAAAGATGCAAATGATTTGTTAGTTGCAATTTGATTAATCCATATTCTTGATTAAGCACCAATAGTATCCCATCTAAGTGGGAGAATGACTATAGATGATAAATTGGTTTCATAAGAATCACAAGTTAGGTGTAGTAATAGTTAAAACATTCTTGATGTTGTTTTAAGATAATGGA